CGCAGCCATCGCTGTAGAAAGCACCAGAGCCATGATCGCAGGCAGCACTGCAGCCATCGCTGCAGGCAGTACCACAGCCATCACTGCAGGCAGCACCGCAGCTGTTTTGCCCACAGCCCCAGTGAGACCTGCTGAGGAGACGACAGATCTCCCAGCCCCGGGGACTGCAGCACTGGGGAGACCACCAGCCACCACCAGTTCTGCCACCATCCCAGCTCCTGCCTTTGAGACACAGAGAGAACAAGCCACAGCATCCAGTACATCTGCTCACACCACCACTGGCCACAGAAGTCCTGCCGCTGAGCCTCAACCCACGCGTGGGCTTATCAGTAAGTAGATATTCTTCTTCTCAAAGCAAAGAGGAGGAAGGGGTTGTCAGCCAGCCAACCACCACGACGGCTGAGGGTATGGCCTGGCCTGGGGTGACTCTTCTGCATTGCACTTTGAGCTGCCAGATTTGTGGGGAAAGGTGAAACGAGACATCTGAGAGCATCCTATTCCAAGTTAAAAACTGTATTAAAAATTGGGTTACGAGACATCAGAGCACTGGTCTGGCTGGGGAGAGCACAGGCAACAGCATCCCGGTGGCAAGGCGGCGAGTTTGCCCTGGCTACAGGAAGCATGGAGCAGACATTAATGGTTTTTCACCTTTTCGATTTTTCTCCTGCCCATGTCAGTGCCAGCAGCCTCACTCTACCCCTTTGGCGCGGAGGGAGGGGACCGAGAATGCGTCCAGAGGATGGTGGATTTTAACTCCCCTCTGTTCAAGCCAGAGATTGGATTCCCCTTCGGGAAGTCACTGCAGGATGTTCTCTATGTGAGTTCCCCCCTTGCTGAGAACATAAGGGATGTGCAGCCTCTTTAGTAGAAAAAACATCACGGAAATGGAGCAGAAACCAAACTTCACCCAAATGTTGTTTTTTTTTTCTATTTAAAATGTCGGGTTTCTACTCAGCCATGGAGGCTAAAAGCCGCATGGGCTGGGCAGGAGCTGCCTGGGGTGTTGACAAATAACAAGTTATTTTGGTTAGTTTACAGATAACGGACAGATCATTTTCCCACCCACGGACAACTATGTCCCCTCCAACCCCAATCCGCCTCCCCAGGGCTTCAGCGGCCAGGATGGTTTGCCAATGGTGGCTGTCTTTTGGGACGATGCAGATTTTTCCCAGGGTGTTGGCACCACCTGGTACCAGGTCAGAGCCACCAAAGATGTTTTCCTGGCAGAGCCCAGCTCCCAGCTCACCCATTTAACCCTCTCTCTTGCCAACCGGCAGGAGTACCCCACCCTCAGCTCTACTCGAGACCCCCTCGTCCATGATGTGGAAGAGAAGATCGAGAAATACCTGAAAACCCCCTATGTAGCAAAATGGACCTTGAAGGTGACATGGGAGAAGGCTCCAGCATATCCGTCCCGGCGAGATGACACTCGGGTGAGCAGTGGGGAACCCAGGTGACACAGGGGACTGTCACCAGTGATGGCTGAGGCAGGGCTGGGCTGCCGCTCTCCCATGGCTTGATGTGGGTGTTTGGGGTCTCACTGCCTCTATCTGCACTTCGGGGAGAGCAGGGGAGGCTTTGAGGGTGCTAAGGGGGTGCTTCGGGTTTCTCCAGACAAGCACCTACCAGGCAGTCCTCACCACTGATGGGAACCGCTCCTTCGCCCTGCTGCTCTACCAGGACGGCGGGATGCGGTGGGACTACGCTGAGCTGGCTGCGGGCAATGTGTTGATCGGCTTCACCAGGTGCTGTGCACGTCTGTGGCTGCGTTTTTGGACGGCAGGGATTGTCCCAGCACTACGCTGGGACCATCAGGGATATTATTCCCAGGAGAATCCAACTCCCACCCCTGGAACAACCCTGTCCTGTTTAAACGCTCTCTCCTGCAAATCGCAGCCGTTCCCACCCCAACTCTTTTACAGGGAGCAGAGGAGGGTTGCGTTGGGCGAGTAACCCCAAATCTCTCTCCACACAGTGGCAATGGCTATGCCCAAAATAATGAGCTGACTCAAAAGCCACCGGCTGTCAAATACCGACCAGACCAGCACAGCAGCACCAGCACTGGTACGGCACTGGAGGAGCGCTCGGGTTGGATGGGGACGGAGGCAGCCATGTTCTCTGCCCCAGGACGGTGTCCCCAGCCTGTGTCCCTGTGAGGCGTTGGGCCAGCGAAGCCACTGGACCAGAGCAGGCCACCAAGAGCAGAACATGAGTGTCCCATGTCCTGTTGTGGCTTCCCATGGCCCCGCTGGCTCTAGAGGGAGCCTGGAGACCTCATGTGAGGCCAGGGCCGGTTGTCCCACAGGATCCCCCTTGGCACCAGACGAGACCCCAGCCGAGCCGTGCTTTTCTCTGGTTGCTTCCCCAGATGTTCGTGGGCTGTGGATATACAGGCTGGACAGTGTCTCCCGGGTGAACTACAGACTGCGGTGCCTGGCATGGCTGGATACGCAGGCGGCACCTGCTTCTGCCATGCCCCTGCTCCCGACCCCAGGCAGATCTGGACCCCCGCTACCGCCAGAGCAGAGGTGCTGAGCATGGGGTGGGGGGACAGTGGTGCGTCCCCTCCTGCTCTGGGGGTGGCTGTGACCTCCTGCACTACTTCAGGCTCAGCAGATGCCTCCGTGAGGATGCTGCGCACCGTGTCCCCCAACCTGGCCGGAGCTGGGGTGCGATGTCTCTACCAAGACGGGAGCTTGTTGGAAGGTTGGCAGGAGAGAGCCTGGAGCCTCCCCACCCACCCTGGGGCAGGTAAGTGGGCACCACCACTCCCTTGCCCTGTAACACCCCCAGCACGAAGTGCTCTGCAGGTGCAGTGGGGATCCCGACACCCCCCCAGCACCCGGCTGCCTTCCTCTGCAGATGAGGAGCTGGAGGCGTTTGACTGGTGCTGCCAGCGCGTGGGGAAGCCCCTGTTCTGCTCCAGGTTTGCTGAGAAGAGACCGAGGGTCAGCTGCGAGGGCTATGTGCCACCCACCCAAGGTGAGTGCCCAGGGCTCTGCCTCCTCTGTGCCAGGGTACTGAGTGGGTGGCACAGCTGCACACGGACCCCATGCATTAAACTACGCTTTGCAGCACCCCAGCGGGGACTGTTGAGCCCCGTGCAGCACCGGGGACTTCTCTCCTCCTTGTATTGACACCAGCATTTGCTTTTCTTCCTCCCCCTAAAATGGCTCCATCTCTTTCGGACCCCAGCTGGTGCCTTTGGGGACCCCCACATCACCACCCTGGATGGACTCACCTACACCTTCAACGGGCTCGGGGACTTTGTCCTGCTGCTTGCCAGCAAAGCCCAGACCAGCTTTGTTCTGCAAGGGCGCACAATCCAGACCGGGACAGCCCAGGCCACCAACTTTGTGGCCTTTGCTGCCCAGTACATCTCTGCCACCACCACAACAGTGAGTAGGAGTGACCTGAGTATCAATTTGAGCATCTAATGGGGCAGATCCCTGTGACAGGTTGAATATCACCTCTGCCATTCACTTACAAGTGGCCGGGACCTGAGGAGCACCCCATCTCCTCTCCTTGCCACCTCCCACAACCCCAACAAAGTGCTAATAGCAGTGTGTTGAACTAAGACTAACGAGCCACCGTTCTAACACCTCTTGCAAGCTGGCCAGCAAGGGCCTAGAGCTCTTCAGGAACACTGTCTGCTCCAGCCTCTTCATTGCACACCCTTCGCCCCGACCATCGGTCTCCTCTGGACACGTTAGCACAAACGCGTAGTCTCCTTTGCTTTGCAGAATTGCTCCCCACACCCATTTCAGTAAGTAAAATCTCCCAGTGTCTCCAGAAACAGCTGTTGAGCAGTGTGAGGAGGGGACTCAGAGCCTGGAGTCCACCAGCACTGCTCTCCTCTCTGCCATGGTCAGCCCAGCAGCGGTGGTGGCCCATGTGTGCCCTGTGCCAGCAGTGAGGTGGGCAGCTTGCTGTCCTCTTCTGTGCAACCATCAAAGCTGCTTTATTGCGTGTTTGCTGGGGTGAAGAGCGCACCGACACAGCCCTGGGGCTGACCCTCTCTGCTGGGGCTGGAGGAGGATGGGGTTTATCTTACATGTCCCCAACATGGGGGGACAGCGGGATGGGACGAGCAGAGGGACTGACTAGGACATCCATCATGATTTGCAGGTTGAGTGGACCTTGGGGAGCCAGGGTGACATCCAAGTCCTCCTGAACAACAAAACCATTCAGTTTTCCTATTCCCAAGGTGAGTGGGATATGAATGTATCTGGGGGGATGAGAGATGTCTCCATCCCACAGGGACTAGCCCTGCCCAGCATGAGGGCAGCCATCCTGAGCCCCATCAAACACCTCCCACCTGTACCCCATCTCTGGCTCAGCCAGGGTGATGGGGAGTGCTCCCCTCCCCAAATTCAGGGATGTCATTTCAGACCCCAGCCTTGCATGGACTCTGCCTCTGTTCTCTCCTTCTCTTGCAGACATGGGTGCTGAAGTGTACTACAGCTCCGGCGTCCTGCTGGTCAACAACTCCTCCATCACGGTCGTCTTTGATGGGGCCATTGCTGTCTGTGTCTCATCTCTCTCCGGGATCCTCAGTGTGGTCTGCAGCTTGCCTGATCGGTACTACAATGGCACCAAAGGCCTTCTGGGTGAGGAATTCTGGCACCGCTGCAGAGCTGGAATACAAAGTCCCTTTCCCACCCCAAAGCCGGCTGGTAAACTGTGGGGGAACAGGCTTGCAAGGGAGAGGACCTCTGGGTATAAACTAAGCCTTGACCAGCACCAGCGAGGGGGTCAGCCCCAGCAAAGGGGACTCCAGTGCTCTGGTGATGCTCCACCAGGTGTGTGGGACCATGACCCCACAGATGACTTCCAGACACCAAACGGTACCATCATCCCTGTGAACAGCAGCGAGGAGGAGATCTACAGCTACGGGATGACCTGTAAGTCCACGCTTGGGACCCATCTTTGCAATCCCCCCGATTCCTGCACCTTCTGGTCATGCTTTGGCTGGAGAGATTTAGGCATCTGCCTGAGCAAAAGTGGTGCCAAGGAAGCCCTTTGGTCTCCTTGCTGCCCCGTGGAAATGAGTCCTAAAATACAAAAAAAAAGGTAAAAATCCAAGGCTGTACCCATGGTGTTCTCTCTTGCAGGGGCTGTTGGAGAGCACAGTCTGTTTGTTCAGCCTCTAACCTCACCAGTAACAAACTTCGCACCCATCTTCTTGTCTCGGCTGCGGCAGGAGAACGAAAGCCAGTACCAGCTGGCAGCCTCGCGGTGCCATGGCAGCAAGGAGTGCATCTATGATGCTTTGAGCACAGGGGACGTGGCACTGGGCCTGGCCACCCGGAGCCTCACAGATGACTTTCAGCAGAAGAAGATGGTCCTCAGTAAGTGGAGCAGATCCTCGCTTCTGACAGGGCATTGCTTGGATAACTGAGAAGTGCCCTGCTCCTTCCCTGGCCTTTCTTGCACCATGTGAGGCAGGAGAGAAGTCAGCAAGATCTCTTAGTTGCATTGCCTGGCTGGCTGGTCTCCAAGCCTGGGAGATGCCACAAGCAGGATAGTTGCCACCAAGGTCTCTTAGTTGCATTGACCAGCCTGGGCATGCAACACAAGGGCCTTGTTGGTGGGTGGTCATGGCAGCATCTGCCTGGGATCCCATCCTCACCAGGAGAGACTCAGAGCCAAGGGGTGCCAAGACCACATAGCAAACATTCAGCTGCTTGCTGGGCTGCTCTTTCCTCAGACGCCTTCCCTCCCATCATCATCGGTGACACGTCACTCACAGCCTTCAGGACCGAAAGGGTCAGGAGGCAGTACCGTGCCGTGGGGGCAGGTGCACGCTTCGTCCCCCACCTTTCCCCAGAGCTCAACGTATCAGGTAGGGAAGAAGACATGGGGCAGCTGGGATGGGACAGGGTGACACCAGCCGCTCAGCCCCTTTCCTCTGCCACCTCCTCTGACTGCCGCCTCTCCCCTGGCAGAGAGCGGCACCCTGACGTGGGAGCCCCGCGGGACCAACCCTCTCACTGTCAGCCTGGAGGCTGTTGGGTCCAACAACCTCTCTGCCCTCCTCCGGCTCCACTTCACCCTTTGCAGCTGCAGCAGGAGCCAGGAGTGCGACTACAGCGACACCGTCACCCTCGGAGGGTCCTCCCTGCAGGTAGTGGAGTTTGGGCAACACCGAGTGCTGGAAAGCTCCCCCAGCACCGTGCTGTGCCCAACATGATGTCAGTCACATTGATTGTCCACTCATCCTCCTCATGTCTCCTAAGCTGGTGTCATTGTCCCCTTCCCAGCTGGCAGCCTGCAAGTGTGACGGCGGCTACTCAGGTCCCTTCTGCCAGGACCCGCCAGACCCCTGCGCCCAGGGATGCTTCCCTGGTGTGGGCTGCAACTCACACACTGGCTGCGGCTCCTGCCCAGCTGGCCTGACCGGCGATGGGCGGCACTGCTCAGGTGATGAGGGCTTGCCGTGGGTACCGGGAACCTGGGGCATCCACAGGACCTGGCTGAGGTATTTCTCCCGGTACCACGCTGCATTGCCTTGGCAGATATCGACGAGTGTGCGCAGGGGATGGGGTGCCCGGGGAACGCCACCTGCACCAACACGGTGGGCAGCTACACCTGCTCCTGCCTGTCTGGTGATGAGGGTGAGTACAGGCACCCTGGAGGGCATGGTCCTCAGTGGGCATGTTCCTCATTCCCATCACCCTCCAAGCCTCAGTGGAAGAGAGCTCCTGCGGGACCCAAACTGGCCAGAAAGGAGAGGAGTCGGCTGAGCTCTGTACCCATGCCCTTGCCATCCTTAACAGAAGAAACCAGAGTCCAGCACCTCTCATGCTCCCACGCTGCAGATCTCTCTAGTCCATGGAGAAGGGAAAATTTTCCTGTGCAGTTTTTGTCTTTGAGAAAAAAATATCTCGTCCCATCAAAGCCCAATTGCCTGAGTGGAGGTTGGGGAGTTTTTGCTCCTGTTCTAATGCAGCAGGTTGGGCTTTCACAAGAGCAAAAGGCTCCAGCAGGGCTTTTCCTTGAGGATCTGGATTTATACTAGAAGTCCTAAGGCACGAATGTATCCTCAAAACCTGGAAAAAAGGCATTACCATCTGAGGAGTGGCTGGGGGG